ATTTTTTTTGATGGAGTTTCACTCTTGTTGCCCAGGCTGGAGTGCAATGGTGTGATCTTGGCTCACCGCAACTTCCGCCTCTGGGGTTCAAGCGATTCTCCTGCCTCAGCCTCCTGAGTAGTTGGGATTATAGGCGCCCACCACCACGCCCGGCTAATTTTGTAATTTTAGTAGAGATGGGGTTTCTCCACGTTGGTCAGGCTGGTCTCAAATTCCCGACCTCAGGAGATCTGCCCGCCCCAGCCTCCCAAAATGCTGGGATTTCAGGTATGAGCCACTGCACCTGGCCCTAGGACCTATTTTCTTTACACTAACATAAAAATTTAGTTCAAGTAGCCTATCACTCCATTTTCTTTCCTTATGTCATCTGATAAAATGGTGAACTGTGAGCTTCTAAGTAAACATTCCCCTCAAGTTCCTCTAGTCCATAATATTCTTTGCAGATGTTGAAGGATGGGCTGGATTGACCTGGAATCTTGTTTCAGCAGAGCCCATGTGTTCATGAAGAAAACATTTGCTCACAGCTTAGTTCTACCGCTGCCTCAATTTCAGTGTTTTAAAAACCTATAGCTATGTGTTCACAATTGTGTTTATTTTGAACGTTATTACTGTCATTTTTCTGGGAAAATAATTACATGTTTATGATTCGTGCCATCAGAATCTTGGATGTTGAAAGGGACATTTCTTTTATATAAATGATGGTCCTGGAATTGTTTTTTTCCTTTTTCTGAGACGGAGTGTCACTCTGTCACCCATGCTTGAGTGCAGTGGCACGATCTTGCCTCACTGCAATCTCTGCCTCTGAGGCCCAAGTGATCCCCCCCGGTCAGCCTCCCAAATAGCTGAGACCACAGATGCACACCACCATGCGTGGCTAATTTTCTGTACTTATGTTACAGATGGGGTTTCACCATGTTGCCAGGTTGGTCTCAAACTCCTGGGCTCAACTGATCCACTTGCTTCAGCCTTCCAAAGTGCTGGGACTACAGGAGTGAGCCACCACACATGGTCAGTCCTGGAATTTTCTAGAGGAGGATGACCAATGCAGCGTATGGACCCTTCCTGGCCATCACATGAAAACCAGCGACTCCTCCTTCCAAAACTCAGAGCTTCTCAGGATGTCTTGGGGAAACGTCCCCCACTGTGAACCTCGGTGAGCCCACCTGTAACATACAGGTGAGGGAGAAGACCAGAAAAGCTCAGTCAGAGTGACACTGACGCTGAAATGATGAGCACAGTGGAGTGTGTGGCTTTTCCTGTAGGAGAGGGAGGTGCTTAGTTGTAATTTGAATTTTAAGTGGATTCCAGTCCTCTAAAAATGTAAAAAACAAAAGGACAAGAATGGGAAAAACAGGGGATTAGATTCAAATCACCTTGAGCCTTATCATCTCAGAGCTTTAACCCACCTACACGGCTCCATGTCCCCTGCAGGCCTCGCCACTGAGCTCTACAGTCCTGTGTCCAGTTGTCTCCTCCTCTATCGGGACATCAAACAGTCATCTCCACCTTCCTGTGTCCATAAGTGACTTCTTAAACCCCAAACACATTCCCTTGCAGTCTCACACGTCTCAGATGAGGGTGACAGTGCACTTCTGGGAGCTTAGCTGAAATTGACAGCATGTATTTTAAATATGGGAAATGAATTCCATTATTTGTAAGTGTTGTCATTTATAATGTAAAGAGAAAGTTGCGTGTATACATGAAAGGAGTGAGAAAATACATCATTTCCAACATTCTTTTGAGATATGAGAGAAAAATGTTTCATAACCTCATCCTTAGGGATCTGTGCTCCCAGGACCCCTCTGACCTCATCTCCTGCCTGTGTCCTCCTCACTCCCTCTGCTCCAGCCACACAGGCCTCTTTCCTTTTCCTGGGACTGAGGTTGCTTTTGTCTCAGGGCCTTCACCTGAGATGTCCCTCTGCCTAGGACTCTCTGGCTCCTCAGCTGCAAGTAACAAGCAGCGTTTCATCCCTAAGTCTTTGTTCTGACATCACTTTCTCTATGGAAACGTTTGTGATCGCCCACAGTCCCCATTTGACATGGCAACCCCACCTTCACCCCCACCTCTGGTCCACGTTGCCTGTTCTGTGTGATTCTTTTTGCTCCTTCGCTGTTCACTGGATCCTGGTGGGAACAAGTACGGAAGCAGAGAGCAGAGCCAGAAGGTGGGGCTGTGCTGGGCTGGTGCCGTCTGAATAGAGCAAAACCCTAGCTTCACATTAGGGTTCTCAGGCATTTTGCAAATACATCTTTTATGCTGTTTTATCGGAGATTGCTGTTATCATAGGATTAAACCCACCCTCAATAATTCTTACAGTGACGCTGGTGATTCTCATCTGTGTCCAGCACTGAACGTCAAGGCAGTTTCCTCCATGTTGAGAGCTGAGATCAGCCTGTGATCCACAGGGAGGTGAGGGGGCTGTGCTCTGTATGGGGTTTGGTTAGGGCAGATCTGTGCCCTGAAGATCTGTGCCCTGCTTCAGCGTGTGGGTGGACTTTTCCAGGAGGGGAGCAAGATCTGAAAACGGGTCAAAATTACCCTTGTAGGTCTTCCTGTGGGACGTTCTCATCTCTGCATGATCTCTGGTGCAGTGGGCAGCAGAGGACCATCTTTCTCCCGGGTGAGGTCTCCCCCGTGTGTGTGTTTTGTCACAGGAAAGGAGTGAGTGGTCTCTAAACATTAAATCTCTTATTATTATTATTATTTTTTTTCACATACAGGATTGATTTCCAAAGAGTCATGTTACTTGGCTTGGTGGAAGCCACCAAGAAGAGGAAAGAAAAGGATCCAGGGATGGCTGTTCCTCAGCTGAGTGATATTCCTTGGTGGATTCTGTCTCTTTCCTTTCTGAAATGCCAGGTATTGTGGTAGCCAGTCTTCTGTGAGTCTGAAGCGTCCTGCCTCACACGTTTGCTCGCACTCACCCATGCCTTTTCTCAGTCCTTGTCATCTTCACTTAAATTCCATCTCCTATAACCTAGTGAATGAGCTTGGGAAGAGGCTCCCCTGGGCATGGTCCTGGGAAGGGCTCACACCAGACATGGATGAAGATGGGGTGTGGATCCCGTGCTGTCAGTGATGTTGGGCAGCAGGGATTGTTCAGGGGCCACATCCGGATGCACGTTCAGTACTTTGTGGACCAGATCAGAGAAACTGTGACCAGATCAGAGAAACTGTATATGAAAGTCATACATTAATGTGCAGTAATATCTGGTACATTCTGGAAATGGAGACAAATTAGGGGAGATATTTTGTGTCTGATTTTGTAATGGATTTGAAGCTACACTAGTGAGTCAATATGTCTGACTTGAAACTTTCTTTTTTTTTTTTTTTTTGAGACGGAGTCTTGCTGGGCTCACTGCAAGCTCCGCCTCCCGGGTTCACGCCATTCTCCTGCCTCAGCCTCCTGAGTAGCTGGGGCTACAGGCGCCCGCCACCATGCCCGAGTAATCTTTCATATTTTTAGTAGAGATGGGGTTTCACCGTGTTAGCCAGGATGGTCTCGATCTCCTGACCTCATGATCCGCCCGCCTCAGCCTCCCAAAGTGCTGGATTACAGGCATGAGCCACTGCGCCCAGTCGAAACTTTTTTTTTAAGAGACAGGGTGTCACTCTTGGGCCCAGTCTGGAGTGCAGTGGAACAATTGTAGTTTACAGCAGCCTCAGATTTGTGGGCTCAAGTGATATCCACATTAGCCTCCTAAGGAGCTAGGATGACAGGCATGTGCCACCACACCTGGCTAATTCTAATTTCGGAGAAGATGAGAAAGAGCTGTGTACAGAATAAGGGAGGGAAACAGTAATGAAGACAAAGGGGGACCCTGGGTGCAGATGTGCGGTGAGTTGATTGGATGTGATGAGGAAGTGATGACATGCTGCTTTCTCTGTTTAGAAGGTAACAAATTTAAAATTTGTTTAAATTATACAGATGAGAATGAGAGTTGCCAAACTCCTGTGTCTAAGTGTGGTGCATTTTATAATTATGGCAGCAGAGGCGAGCTTCCCTTTGCAACCCCTCTTCAGCCAGAGGACAGTGACTTGACTCATTAGTTGTGGATCCCCCTCTTCCCTTTTCATGGATGGGGTGGGGAGTGGGGGAGTGAAGTAGGGTAAGAAGTGACTGAGTCTCTGTTACTACATCGAACCTGATAAAATAAATATTAAAAGTGCTTTTGTTCTCTTTTTGTGCTGGGTTTTCTTTTTTTCTAGTTCCTCCTCATTTCATTAGTTTTTTTTTTTTTTTAATTTTAATTTTAATTTTTTGAGACCCTCTTACTCTTGCCCAGGCTGGAGTGCAGTGGCAGGATCACTCCACACTGCAGCTGTAACATCCTGGGCTCAAGTGATTTTCCCACCTCAGCCTCCAGAGTAGCTGAGACCACAAGTGTGCCCCACCATGCCTGCCTAATGTTTGTTTTATTACTATTGTTATTTTTTGAGACTCTCTTTGTCACCCAGGCTGGAGTGCAGTGGAAGGATCCAGGCTCACTGCAACTTCTGCCTCCTGGGGTCAAGCGATTCTCCTTCCTCAGCCTCTCGAGTTGCTGGGATTACAGGCGTGCACCACCACGCCCGGCTAATTTTTGTATTTTTAGTAGAGATTGGGGTTTCTCCACGTTGGCCAGGCTGGTGTCAAACTCCTGACCTGAAGTGATCTGCCCACCTTGACCTCCCAGAGTGCTGGGATTATAGGTGTGAGCCATTAAGCCCGGCCAGATATTTGTATTTTTTTGTAGATACCGGATTTTGCCATGTTTTCCACGCTGGTCTCGAACACCTAGGCTAAAAAGATCCAGCTGTATAGGTCTCTTAAACTGATGCGATTATAGGCATGAGCCACCACGTGCAGCCTGTTTTTTAATTAAAAAAAAAAAATTACTTATGAAGTAAGTTTTGGTAGAATCGTTTTTTGAG